GTGAGATTATATTTAGTTTTTATATAATTTTTTTTCCTTTTGTGAGATATACCTTTTTTTGTTCTTTTATATTAATTTTTAATTTTTAATTTATGATTTTTTTTTCTTTTGTAAATAAAATTACTCATTAATCCTTGATTTAATTATAGTTAATTCATGAATAATATATCTTTACAAAAATAATATTCCTAACGATGATTTGAAATTAGAATTGTATTAAATTTTCGTTTCCACCTATTCTTCGATTTCATTATCGTAACCCTATAGTCAACCAACACGGGAGAGAACAATTTTCACTAATATTCATAATCGAGCACAATATTCACCAATATTCATAATCGAGCACAATGTTCATCAATATTCATAATCGAGCACAATATTCACCAATATTCATAATCGAGCACAATATTCACCAAAATTCATAATCGAGCACAATATTCACAATCAACCAACAATATTGACAATCAACAAACAATCAACCAATCGAGTTTAATATTCTAACACGGGCGAGCATAATATTCACAATCAACCAATATCCACCAATATTCACAATCAACCAACAATATTCACAATCGAGCACAATATGCACAATCAAACACAAATTCATATGGCAAAAAGACCACGGCAAATACATCGAAAAATTAACGAGAGGGATGAGCCTCGGTACCGTTCTCGGGACGGCGGCGGCGGAGAGGGCAGCGGCTGTCGGCGGACGGCGGAGCTAGTGGACGGCGGAACTCGCGGAGGCGCAGCGGAGGTCGCGGAGGTCACGGCGGAGATGGCGGCGGTCGCGGAGGTCGGGGAGGAGGGGGAGGAGGGTTTCGGGCGGAGAGAGAGAGAGAGAGAGAGAGAGAGAGAGAAAAGAAATGGGGAGGGGAGGGGCCGATTTTTTTTTTAATAATAATAACACATACACAGATTCTCAGAATCTGTGTTTCTCGTTGACTAGTAAACACGGATTCTGAGAATCCGTGTTTAAAAAAAATAATTTATTTATTTTGGACAAATTCGAGCTCGATTACACTATAATTGATCAATATTGTACTAATTCGAGTTCGATTTCACTATAATTGACTTCAATTGTACTAATTCGAGTTCGATTTCACTGTAATTGACTCCGATTGTACTAATTTGACTTCAATTGTACTAATTTGACTTCGATTTTACTAATTCGAGTTCGATTTCACTGTAATTGACTTCAATTGTACTAATTCGAGTTCGATTTCACTGTAATTGACTTCAATTGTACTAATTTGACTTCAATTGTACTAATTTGACTTTGATTTTACTAATTCGAGTTCGATTTCACTATAATTAACTTCAATTATACTAATTCGAGTTCGATTTCACTATAATTTACTTAAATTGCACTAGTTTGACTTCAATTGTACTAATTTGACTTCGATTTTACTAATTCGAGTTCGATTTCACTATAATTGACTTTAATTGTACTAATTCGCATTCGATTTCACTATAATTGACTTCAATTGTACTAATTCGAGTTCGATTTCACTATAATTGACTTCAATTGCACTAGTTTGACTTCAATTGTACAAATTTAACTTCGATTTTACTAATTCGAGTTCGATTTTACTATAATTGACTTAATTGTACTAATTCGAGTTCGATTTCACTATAATTGACTTCAATTGTACTAATTCGAGTTCGATTTCACTGTAATTGACTTCAATTGTACTAATTTGACTTCAATTGTACTAATTTGACTTCGATTTTACTAAGTCGAGTTTGATTTCACTATAATTGACTTCAATTGCACTAGTTTGACTTCAGTTGTACTAATTTGACTTCTATTTTACTAATTCGAGTTCGATTTCACTATAATTGACTTCAATTGTACTAATTCGAGTTCGATTTCACTATAATTGACTTCAATTGTACTAATTTGACTTCAATTGTGAGTTCGATTTCACTATAAGTGACTTCAATTGTACTAATTCGAGTTCGATTTCACTATAATTGACTTCAATTGTACTAATTTGACTTCGATTTTACTAATTCGAGTTCGATTTCACTATAATTGACTTCAATTGTACTAATTCGAGTTCGATTTCACTATAATTGACGTTTTTTTATTTTTATTAAACATCAAATGCATTAGAAAAAGCAACTCAAAATACAATATCCGAATAACCAACGGGTTATACAAAGCCACCAATAGCTAACGGGGAAGACATCAATCATTGATGTTACCCTCCTCGACCGATAAGGCCGTTACCCAAACACTAGAACAAACTAACTTGTCAACCCTAAAAATAACAGAATCAAACAAATTGACAAGAGAGAAAATATCCCTAGCAATGACACCAAAAGCTGAAGGAAATGAGTCCCGAGAAGCTAACTTTCTAGCCATGCTATCATCCTCGAGTAAACAAGTGATGTTTTTCCAGTTCTGCTGCTGTGCCTTCTCTAGCCCCCATCTGAGTGATAATAATATTGCCTCCATACGATCAAGCCTTTCCGGCTGGAAAGCCCACCAGCAATGAACCAATGAGCCATCAGCCTGCAAAAGTCCCCCATACCTTAACCTGCCATCTGAAGCATGATTAGCACTGACCACCACCAAGGATTGTCCTACTCTTTCCTCTTCATTGGCTGCAAATGCAAGGCTTTGAGGGATATGCATTGCTTTCTCATCACTGGAGCCACAACTAAATTCAGAAAAATCCATCCAATCCTGCCTAACAAAGGTGACTAAATGGTGTTCAGAAGTTACAGCTTTTTGAAACACCCAAGAGTTCCGGGTTTTCCATAACCACCACAGCAAGTAGGTGGATAGAGGCACTCTTTCTTCCCAGCAAGAAACTCCCTTCATACTGCAAAGTTCCTTCCACCACAATTGAAAATAGCAGTTGTTCTCCTTCAAACATTCCCAGCTAAGACCAAGGAGTTTCCATGATTTTTTGGCCCTGTTGCAATAAAACAAAATATGCTCCAGATCCTCTTCACATTCACCACACCAGTCATAAATGACATCCACCTCTATCCCTTTGGAATTCAGCCTCTTTTTGCTACTAACAAACCCATTCCAGCATCTCCATACAAAATTCTTAACTCGGTTTTGAACAGGTAATTTCCAAGTGATGTTCCAGATTTTCTCTTTTCTATGTCTGCTGCTACTAGATTCAGGGGAGATCCCATGAGGATTTAAACCAGCCACCTTATGATTTAGAATTGTTGTGTAGGCAGCTTTAACTGAAAATTCTCCCTTCTTGCCTTGGTGCCAAATTAATTTATCCTTCGAACCCCATCTACCAACAGGAATTTTGAGAATACTAGAAGCATCAGAGGGATTGAATGTCTGTAAAATAAGCTCCTCATCCCACCTACTTTCCCCAGCAGCCATCAACTCAGACACAAAATTAAACTTCTTTCTATCTTCAGCAAAGCAGCAAATAGGCATAAAGTCAGTTGCATCAGGAATCCATGGAGAAGTCCAAATAGAAACAACTTTGCCAGTACCAACTTGATACCTCAAACCCAACTTCAAAGAAGGTCTCACTACAAGCCATGATTTCCACAGCCATGAATCTGAACTTTTGGGATTGATGTCAAGGATATTCTGGTTGTGGAAGTATCTACCTTTGATAAGCTTACTCATCAGCAAATTGGGTTGGATGAGCACTCTCCAAAGCTGCTTGAAAATGAGTGCCTCGTTGAACACAAGCATATTTCTAAACCCCAATCCCCCCTCACATTTTGGCTGTGCAAGAAACTCCCATTTGGCCCAATGTATTTTCTTTTTACCATCCTCAGATTGGCCCCACCAAAAATCAGCCACAGTCCTGCAAATGTCTGCACAAACTCCAACAGGTACTTTAAAACAAGACATAACATATGTTGGTAGGGCATCCAAAACAGTTTTGATTAATACTTCTTTGCCAGCCTCACTGAGATATTGAGTTTTCCAGTTTTTAATTCTAGAAATAACACACTCACTCACAAAACGAAAAGTATCTTTTTTAGTTCTGCCAATACCCAATGGAAGCCCTAAATACTTAGAAGAGTGCACCACAGAAATGCCTCTAAGGATGTGACAGATTTCAGCTTGCAGATTATCTGGAGAGTTCTTAGAGAACAAGATGCTAGATTTATGGAGGTTAACCAGTTGACCGGAAGCTGCACAATATGTATTAAGAAGGTTAAGAAAAGTGAGAGACTGTTGGGGAGTGGCCTTACCAAAAATAAGAGCATCATCCGCAAAAAAGAGATGGGTGATAGTGGGAGAGAATTTACTGATTTTCAACCCATTAAAAGATGAAGACAAGCTTGCTTGATGAATTAAGTTGGAGAAAGCCTCAGAAAGAATGATGAACAGATAGGGGGATAAAGGATCCCCCTGTCTAATCCCCCTTGTGGGTTGAAGAAAGCCTTTGGCTTGGCCTTTCAGATTGAAAGAGAAGGATGATGTTGAAATACAAGACCAAACCCACCTAAGAAATTTAGCATCAAACCCCATAGACACACAAACTCTAATGAGAAAGTCCCACTCCACCCAGTCAAAAGCCTTAGCCATGTCTAACTTAATGGCCATGAAAGAAGATTTCCCTTTTTTTTTACTATTAAGGTAATGCACACACTCATTGGCTATAATAACAGTATCAATAATCTGTCTCCCTGGGACAAAGGCTGATAGAGCTGGAGAAATGCAAGCATGAAGAACCATTTTCAGTCTATTAGCCAAAATTTTAGAGATCAATCTATAAAGAACGGTGCAAAGGCTAATGGGTCTGAAGTCCTGGACCTTTTGAGGGTTTTTAATTTTGGGAATGATGGTGATAATGGTATGGTTAGTGGCTTTGGGGATTTTCCCATGCTTGAAGAAATCAAGTATGGCTAAGCATAAATCAATTTTAATGACAGGCCATGAAGTTTGAAAAAATGGGGAGAAAAACCATCAATACCTGGAGCATTACCTGGATCCATCTCCCAGAGTGCTGCTTTGATTTCTTTCTCATCCACCTCTCTTGTGAGTTCTATGTTCATGTCTTCAGTGATGGTTTTCCGAATTCCTTGCAGGCAGGATACATCAAAGTTTGGATGGTCAGACTGATAAATGCTTTCAAAGTGCTGCAAAAGTTACTTCAGAATTTCATCATCCCCTGTACATTGTGTCCCATCAGCTTTGAGTAAATTTGTTAAGCTATTCCTGTGCTTTCTTTGTCTAGCCCAAGCTCGAAAAAATTTACTTTTTCTGTCACCCTCTTGGAGCCATCTAACTCTGGATTTCTGTTTCCAGTAGGCTTCCTCAGCCATGTAAGCATTTTTCAGTTCCTGCTGACAAGACCACCATTCAGTCCAATTCCTTTCACCACCTTGCTGGCCCAACAAGGTCAATTTAGCATTACACACCTTTATCAATTATGCAGAATTAGTTCTATGTTGTGCTTTCCAACCAAGAAGGGCCAACTTAACATTCTTCAGCTTCTTCTGAAAACTGTATAGCAAGGGGCCATTAACATTGTTGCTCCAGGCTTTCTCCACACAATCTTTGTATCCATCTAGTGCAGGCCATCTACTATCAAAATGAAATCTAGGCCATACTTTTTTGGTTTTAGAATCTGAATCAAAAAGCAGCATGTAGTGGTCAGAGGATGCCATGTAGATGTGCTTTACCAGGGAGTTAGGGAACAGGTCTAACCACTCAGGGGACATAAAAACCCTATCAAGTCTAGCTTCAACAAAATCCATCCCCACCCTATTATTAGCCCAGGTATAGGAATGCCCAGAGAACCCACACTCAATCATGTGCATATCAGCCACAAAACTTCTAAAGGGGTTATAACTATTATCACTCCTAACAACACCCCCTCTCTTATCATTACTGGATAGAATGGCATTAAAATCCCCCCTAGAAACCAAAAACCCCCCACTGAAGCTTGTGCCTAAGGATAATAGACCATTGAAACATTCTATCGGTAGGATCAGAGCTGGCATAGAGGAAAACTGGCCATTTTTTTTACAGAACAACCAACATTGGAAAAACAGACTTCAATGCAAAAGGGATTACTAATAATATCCAAAATGAGAACAGAATCAGACCAACAAACCAACAAACCACCCCTACTAGCAAAAGGGTCCACATAATACCAACTACTAGCAAAACCTAATTTTTTACAAACTGAAGAAACAAAAGATCTTTTCTTTTTGGTCTCAGAGAGAAAAAGTATATCTGGGAGGTGGGCCCGAAGGATCTCCTTGAGTTGGGGAATTGTAGAGGGCCCTCCCAGACCTCTACAATTCCACAAGCAAACTCTCATTGGATACCTCGGGACCAATCAAGGCTGGTTTCCTCCACCTGAATATTAAAGAGATCTTCATCTATTTTTTGCTCTTTAGCCTCAGCAGAATCAGAAAGATCAGACTCAGCAATAATAAAAAGCTTCCTTTTGCCTATATCAAGAGATTTGGACCCTAAGGAAGAAACAGGGTTGTCAATAAGCATTTGCTCATTTAGAATAGCAATGCCTTTTTTTGGTTTTCTAATAGCAAGTTTTTTCCTCTGCTTGGAAACAACAGAATTAGCAAGAGGAGAGGGGGAAACAGGTATGACAGAAGTGTCAGAAAGTTTAGGAGCAGCATACTCACTTGGAGTGAAGATAATAGGAATGGTAGTATCACTCTGAGGAGAGGTAGTAACTGGAGAAGCTTCTTGCCCCTGGGAATCTTTTTCCAGAGGACGAGGATTTTGCACAATAGGATCTGGTATAATCTGGGCAATAGGAGTTTGAGAAGATTGACCCCCACTCACCGCTGCTAAGTTAGGCCCTGAAGAACTACCCGCACCCAAGTCTCCCTGTAAAGCATTCTTACTCACCTCTGGACCACTACTCTTGGATTGCCCGCCTGCCGAATCCCCATCCCCACTGTTGGGATTATTAACTCTCCTATTTTTAACCTCTCTGTAACCTTCAAATGAAGCTTTAAGCCAATCCCCATACTTGCCTAAACGGAGCGCACCACGTCTGATATCTTCTTTCTTATGATCGCAGGTTCTATCACTATGGCCGATAATTCTGCAATAGAAACAGATGGTCTGTAGATTCTCATATCTGAAATCAATCCAGTGTATTTCATTACCAAGCTTCAATTTTGTACCTCTGGGAATTGGCTCATCTAGATCCACTTCAACCAGAATTTTAACTATCCTTCCAAGAAGACTTCCAGCACCCGGGACTACGACATCAAGAGTTGTGCCGAAAAATTTGCCCACTCGCATACCCATTTCAAAGGAGATCCAATGGAGAGGGAGATTAAGGATGTGCACCCACAACTTGACTTTTCCCTCCTCAGCAGAGAAATCCAGGCGATCCTTATTGCATTGCTTGAGAATGAGGTACTGATTGTCGAATGTCCAGGCTCTTCCATTAAGGGCTTTCGCTCTGTCCTCCTCAGATTGGAATAAGAACTGAAATAGATTGGCTTCGAGGACTCGAATCGAGAATGGTTTTATAGGTCATCACACAAGATTCATAGTAGTCTTGAGCCCTCCTAGGTTAACCTTCTTCTCCCCAATAACGCGGCCTATTAAACTTAAAGCGCATTCCTGTACACCAGGCTCGATATCATCCTCCAACACTAGAAGTTCCGAGTCTTCCTTAGCCGATAGGTCAAATTTCTTCAACTTATCAATAATGTCTTGCTCCATAAGGTTGAGATGAGAATACCCCGAGAAGAATGTGAACTTACAAGAGGACGGATTCAAGGAAACCTGCAGACAAAGAGAAATAGACCAAATAGACCCAAAAAGGAAAAAGACCCTAAAAAAACAAAACACAAAGGGGGAAATTAACAACCCTAGAACCAACAGGAAAAGTTAGAGAAAGTAGGGATCATCAATAGACGGAAAGATCACACACACGAAAGAGAAAGGATGAAGAAAAGCACTGAAAATCCATAGAAATGGAAAGGGAACACTCTAGAGAGAGAAAAGGACTTCCATTGAGGAAACACTATAATTGACTTGAATTGTACTAATTCGAGTTCGATTTCACTATAATTGACTTCAATTGTACTAATTTGACTTTAATTGTACTAATTCGAGTTTGATTTCACTATAATTGACTTCAATTGTACTAATTCGAGTTTGATTTCACTGTAATTGACTTCAACTGTACTAATTTGACTTCGATTTTACTAATTCGAGTTCGATTTCACTATAATTGACTTCAATTGTACTAATTCGAGTTCGATTTTACTTTAATTGACCGAGATTGTACTAATTTGACTTCAATTGTACTAATTCGAGTTCAATTTCAAAATCATCCAAATACATTATATAAATCATCCAAATACATTATACGATGTTTGAGTTTATAATATTTGGTTGATTTGGAAAAAAAAAAAAATCATCCAAATACAAAATATTTATCTCAACAATACGATTAAGTCAAAATACATAAAAAAAATCTAGTTCCCCCAATCATCACGGAGTCTAGTTCGATCAGTGGGAGGATGCGAATACGGGCAACGGTTCGCGAATTGTTCGGGATCACCACATCTACTGCATTGATCCCGGACTCTTCTGCGGCGCGCTCGACGATCCATTTGCATTTTAAATCGTCTCGTTTGGGCGCGGCCGGGTCCAGGCTTCGAAATGATCCTTTCCCAATGCGGAATCAAATTCCATCCCACCTGCGGCCACGTGTCAGGATTTCCAATTGGAGCAAAATTCCAATTAGAAAATTGAGCAACCCAGTTCTCCGTCCAAAAGTGGGAATCGTACAACAAGTGCGGTTGATCACCCCGGTGACGACACACGGCCAATGCATGAGAGCATGGTTTCCGAAATGTCTGCCACTTCTTACATGTACAACGATGTTGCTGATAATAAACCGCAAACCTGTTTCCCACAATGATTTATATATATAAATAAAAAAAAATCATTTGAATGGAAAAAAAAAAATTCCAATTCAAAAATACATACTTGTTTTGCCCTCTTCCACTGGCGCGTAGACCGGTTGTCACCTTGTACTGGGATCCATCGGCGTCCACACATTGCACCTCGTGAGTCGCCGTTGTCCTATCCAACACCAGATAGGCGGCATAGAGATCGGTAGGAATGTGACTCCTGCATCCTCTGGACTTGTTTTGTTCTTGTTGAAACAAATCCAAAGTCTTGTTCATTGTCGCATGTACCAACGCTCTGCAGGGCCGGAACCTAACACCTTTGAGGACGTTGTTGTTACTCTCTGACATATTGGTTGTCAGAGTGCCCCATCGACGTCCTCTATCTCCGTACAGGGTCCACTTTTCCAAAGGAATTTGGAAAAGATAATTGTATGCTTCCGGGTTACATTCATGGAGTTCCTGTCGACTTTGCTCAAATTTGCGGCGAGAACACAGTGAACCCAACCTCCAGCACAAACCCCGGATTTTCTTAGTCCGGTACCTTGAAAACACGTTGCTCCGGAGGTGTCGAAGGCATATCCGATGAAATGCATGGGGTTCGTGCCAAGCCTCCAGTAAATCAGCGGCACTCAATATGTCGTTGTCCCTGTCAGAAAGAAGACATATCGGTCTGTCGGGGACGACATGATGGCGCAGATGTGTTAGGAAAAAGGACCAGCTAGCCGTGCTTTCTTCGTCCACAATCGCATACGCGACTGGCAATAGACGCTTATTCGCAGTCTGTGCTATGACAACAAGTAGCTTCCCCTTGTACGAACCTGCTCAGTTGGACATATGTTTTTTTTATCAGACACTATTGTAAATTAGAAAATAAAAAAATTAATTTGTAATTAACAAGTAGTTTCCCCTTGTACGAACCTCGCACGTGCCTGCCGTCGATGCTAATAATCGACGGGCAAAGAAGGAAGGTTTGAATGGCGGGGCCGAACGCCCAGAAGAAATCTGAATTCTTTGTCTCGAGATTGCTTCGCCATTTCCCCACCTTGCCATTCCCACTCAACGACTGTACCGGGATTCGCCCTTTGAAGGGCGGCGAAAAACCTACATATTATAAAATGTAACCATAAATAAATAAATAAATATAGTTACAAACAACACGTAAATACATTTATAATTAATTTTTGCTTACTGGGGGAGTTGTGCGAAGTTCGATTCCCACGTGCCATACAGACGATCGATGGCTTTTTTTCTCCCGTGCCACGCCTTTTTGTAGCTGACATCGACGCTCCAGGCGCTTTTTACGTCGGCCTGGACCATTTCCACACTGTAGGTCACCTACTTTTGAATCTTAGCCAACAGAAGATTTGAGATCATGGTGGCGGTCACATTCTTGTGGTCATTTCTCTCGAACACCTGCATGCAAGTGTGGCTATCGGTCCATTCGGTTACCTCCCACATGTCGTGATCCCGTTTGTTAAGACTCACCCGGGCCTTCCATATACATGGTACAACTTCATCTAATCTGCACACAACTTTGAACGACTTCTTGTTGGAATCTTTTTTCCGGACCGCCCTAAGCTTCTCAACATTCCAGGCATTAATACCAATCCGGGCTTCTTCCTTGTTATGAAAAACTGTACCCAAACGGATAGTCTCGACATGCCCATTCTAGGTTGACAAGGCATACTCGTCCCTGTCTACACACGACGAGTCCCACTCACCCATCTCACGATATACGTTGAGGCCTTCATTTGGAAAGGGGTGTTCTTCAATGAATTCTTGTTCGCTCTCCTCATTAATTGATCTATCCGATTCGGTTTCCAAGGTCTCATTAGTGAAATCGTCTTCCTCGGGACTGAAATCTTCATCTCCAACAATTTCTTCCTCAATGTCCGGTCCTCTCATGGTAAAGCTCGTTCCTTTGCCGAAATTACTCGTCCCTTCACCAAAATTACCGGCATGCGTAGTCCACGTACCCTCACAACCAAACATTCCCTCATAACCATATGATGGCGTAGGATCCTCAACCTGTGTAACATGTGTGTTTGCTTCCAACACTATATACAAAAACACATAGGACATAGGAGGAAAGTAGTAAATCCACGAAAGAGAATTATCATTATTCAGTCTTCCGGGAATAAACGAACCATCCTGTTGTCTCGCCATCAAAGTAATATCCGAAATTGTCCAACTATCATGAAATCCACCATTTTCATAAATCATATCTACTAATTGTTCATATGATATTATTCCATTAATAACAAATGAACAATCCGGACGAGACATATAATTCGAAAAATTTCATAACTCACTCTAGGGAATTTTCCAGTACACATTAACAAAGTAGGGACCGTTAGACGCCATTTATAACCTGTTGCACAAAAAAAAAATTCTATTTTACAAATTATAACAACACATAATGGCTAATCAAACACCCTAGAAAATTTCAATTATTATTTTACCAATCTAAATTTAAAACTCATTTCCAACAACAACATATAATTAATCATATTTTTACTCCAAAAAAAGAAACAAAATTGTCAATTAATTTATCAAAAACACCACCAAAACCCTAATCACCATAATCCAACAATAACATCAAATTCATAAATAATTCGGATAAATATTCAACATACATTAAACCAACATCTAAGATTTTCTAAACAATAGCAAATAACAAATTATAACCATTTAACACAACTATTAAACCAACATTCAAGATTTTATAAACAATACTCAATCAACCAAATATATATCTTAAACATTCATAAACAACAAAAAAATAATATTACATTACGTTAAAATAAAAACTAACCTCTTCTCCGATGATTGGTTGAAAATTTGTTTTTTTTTTTTTGAATGGATTGTTTAGATATGAAACTAATTAACCTATATGTTAAGCTAACGTATAAAAATATGTATTATATGTAATCTTAAACGTGTTTGCTAAACTTTTCCCTTAAAAAATTCAAAATACATTTAGGCATGTTTTATTTGAAGTTTGAAATTTAAATATGCATCTATATAACAAATCCCATGATTTATTCTAGCATTAAATGCTACTTGTTTTTTTATTAAAAAAATAAAAAAACATACCAAAAATGGAATGCAATTAATATTCCCTATTTTTTTGCTTACTATTTTTGAAAAATGTTAATTCTTATTATATATATAGAGATTAGATTCAATTACAAGTATTTAGAATACAAATTAGTTATATATCCAACTCATTAGTAAATAAAATATAAAAAAAATAGTATTAAATGACAATATAAGTCTAAGTTCCCAACATTAATCCAGAAATAAAACAGAGATGCTCTCCGAATGTCTATATCTCTTAAATTTTAGGTTGCTAAATGATACAAAATTTCTTTATAATGAAAACCAGAAGACAAAAAATAAATAAATAATTCAGATTACCTAGGGCCACCAAGACAATGCTATCACAGCCAGATGACCCGGGTCTAAACCGGGCTCCTTGTATGTATAACTCATCAATGGACGGACTCGGCTGGGTTTGGCCTGGATAAACCGATTACTGGATCTAGCTCCGACGACGGGATCTGGTGTACCCCCTTCAAAGTGATTTGAGGGGTAACCATCGAACTCTCACCTCCAGCTCCCCCAACCGATGGTCCTCCCCCCTGAGGCGTCACCATTACCCAAGCATCCTCCAAACTAGCATCTAATTTTCTCTGCAACCTATCTTCTTCTCTGATAATCCTCTCCATCTTAGATTCGTTCACTACCAGTAGAGTAATAGAGTTACACCACTAGACGACGCCAATTGATGTGCTTCGCACCTTGAACTGGCCTTCCACTGATCCTCAACCGCTTTCTCCCCGGAGACCTGCAAAGACGCCGGGAGGTGCTCCCGGCGTTAAACCTCCGACGCTCAAGTCAGTAAAGGGTAGAGGAAAGCTGTATGTGACTATATGTAGTATTTAGGGTTTGTAGAGTGTGATTCCCCTTCTTCACCAATTTACCTATTTATATGGAATTATTAGCTTCCTCCATACGTCTTGTTCTTCCTCCGTCGGATCATTTGTTCCTCTTTGATCTTGACCTTACACGTGTCCTTTGTGGACCACCTTTCATAACCACTTCTACAGGTTGGTCCTCAGTTTTGTAGAGCATCACCGCCGATCGGCTTTTCCTTAAAAGACCCTTCTCTTACACTGCACCGAGCTACTACTATGACGAGCTCTCCACACTCTCAGTCCCTGCCACTAGCCGAGCTACTATTGTGATGAGCTCTCCACACTCCCAGGCCCTGCCACTAGCTGAGCTACTACTGTGACGAGCTCTCCACACTCTTAGGCCCTGCCACTAGCCGAGCTAGTATTAAGACGAAGCTATTACTGTGATGAGCTCTCCACACTCTCAGGCCTGGCCCTGGCTAAGCTACTATTAAGACGAGCTACTACTATGACCAGC